GGGCCTTTCCAAAGAATGCAGGCCCTGGCCGTGATTCGCAGCCTCATACAGAGACAGTTGGGCGCCCAACCGAACGAGGCCCAGCAGCCCAGTAGCTGCTGCATCCAGGCAGCCTCCTGGGGCCTTCCGGAAGCTTCTGGGCCCAGGCCAAGGCAGCCAGGCTGCGTGAGCAGGCCAACTCTTTCCATAAAGGAAAGAGCCCGGCCCTGGCTGCCTCATTCAGGCACTCGCATGCTGGGCAGCAGCGCTGCTGGAGCTTATGCTTGAAGGCTGCTGCTAGCGCTGGGAGGCGATGTCCAGCACGTGCGGTCGTGCAGAGGAGGAGGGCGCTGCTRAGGGCAGYGYSATAGCCCAGCCACCATAGCTGGTGGGCTTGGACTACAGTGAAGCGCAGGGGTGGTCTTCGGGTGACAGAGAGGACAGGTGTGGGTGAAGTCAGGGGATAGGTGAAGGATGATGATGATGATGATGATGATGTGAGGGCACGTACCTTGTATTGGCGATGGTCTGCATGGGCAGCATCTTCAAGTACTTCGGGCTGCTGCTGATGTAAACAGTTGCATTGTCGTTTTGTAGTCTGTAGTAGCTGTGTAGGAGTAGGCTGGGCGCTGAGCGCCAAGTGTGAGTGTAAGGGAACTGGACTCTTTTGTTGAGAGGAGAGAGTGTGCTCTCCACGGACATTGGTTTTCAGTGCTACGAAACTCGATTGGTGTATTATTGGTGCAATGCTGCTATCTGGACACGGTGTGACTATTTGGCTTGCAATGTGATGGTGTGATTTGGGATTGTCATCTCGCTGTTGCTTATTTTCCTTGCAATTTGGTATCAGAGCTGGTTCATATTGCACTTTATTGGTTCTTCGCAATAGCTATTGGTGCTTCGCATGAGGTGTGGGGCAGTGATACGGCATTGACGTTGAACACTAGGCGGCCCAGGGTAGTGTGGGCGCGCCGGGGAGCTATGTGGTGACATACGAGATGTATGCTGGATGATGAGAACTCGCTGATGTGACATATTAAGCTGAGGTGGAACCACATTCTGCTGTAGGTTGTACCGAAGCAAAGACCGGTCATCATAATTGCACATCAGGTTACCGGTGAGAAGTCTGTGGTTGGGGGCAGCATTAATGAGGTACGTTGCTCTCTTCCTTATCTACCCTCTTTATCTCTTCTTACCGTGAGGAAGTGAGTTCTGTCTTGAGAGTTCTCTTGATGTGAGGTGTCGCGAGCGCTCAACCTTGAGAGTCGCCATTCTTCCTGGGCAGCAAGGTGGTGGGAGACGGGCGTAGCCTCTGAAGGGCCCTGGACGAAGCACTCGGGTCACGGTCACCATGCCAACCCGCTGGGATTAGTACACACATGCTTGGGCGCAAGTCCTTGGATCTGCTGCTTGCGCAAATAGGGGTCAACTCGGGCATGGCAGCCTCTATGAGACGCGCACCAGACCGTCTATCAACATTTCTGGTTGGGGACTCGGATCTGAATCTGGCTGTGATCGTCGTCCTGACTGCGACGTTAAATAATTCCTGAAGAGATGGGGGCGCTCTTAATAATTCTCCTGATCAGCCAGATCAACCGGGTGTAAGGCTCGTCGGCGTACGAGGATAAATAAGAGTGCTATGGCTGCCTTGCTCGATGATGACTTGAGGCACGGGGGTGGGACCGGAAGCACACCTTTAGACATGCTGCTCAACCAGATGCTCAGGGACGTTGACACAAAGTGACTACTCAAGAAGGATACAGGGGGAGGGGGGATTCCGGTAACTGTTCGCAATGGCAATCAACAGACTATCTGCCATCCAGTGTACATCTCCAATAGGAGATGTTATTTTTGTTTTGATTATCTAGTTGTTACGGACTTGCTAACAACTGACAGACAGCTATAGATAGATTAGATCTTTGTTGTATTGCAATCTGTTTTAGGTTAATTCAAAAATAGAAATAGTATATCCTGTAGGACCTGACATTAGTTGCAACTACATCACCTAATCATTTCTGTTGCAGCCGACCGTAAGTAGTTGTGTATCATATGCGGATGTGTGACAAGCTAAGGTAGGATTCAGTGTGGATTCTAGTTTAGATCACACACACTGTAGCTCATGAGTGATGCAAGCACAAGTGAGGAGTTACTAGTGGATGACCGTAGGACTACTCGCGGGACTGCCTGCAGTCGACCCTTGACATTCTTGGAGTTAGGTCCAGGAGACGAAAGAAGATTGAGGAGAGAGGCTAGAGAGAGGACAGCGGCAAGGAGAGCGAGGGCAGCTGAGGATAGTGCTAGGGCTAGAGTTACAGGTAGCATCAGTGCAGCCATGGCTACCTCATCTATGACGCAACCCTCTACACAGCCCTCTTCGTCAGGCGTCAGTCAGGGTGGTTCTCAGGTTCCCATTAGTCAGATTGGTCATGTGCGAGTCAGCCTGTCTCCACTCACGCCGGAGGACTTGGAAATCCGGCAGGCAGAAGAACTTCAGGATGAGCTACAGCGACAAATGGACGATGTGGTAGAGAGGAGAAGGAAAACTATGCAAAGAAAGGCTAGACTAGAGAGTAGTGCACAGGAGCTAGGCAGACTCAAAAAACTAGATGAGTCAACATTAGACCCTGTTGTCCGTGTGCTGCGAGGCGCCTTACTTTCAGTGGCGGAAGCGCAAAGCGTTCAGCAAGAATTGTTGGCTGATTTGGTAGCAGGCCAGAAACAAATTCTGGCTGAACTTCGGGGCACTCGCCCAATAGTGAGGCCCCCACAGTTTGCTGTAGTTCCCCCTGCAGGTGCGGGTCCATCATCGATGCCGCAACGCACAGGGCAAACTTTCTCTCCCATGTTTGACATGCCCTCCCCTGGTGGTTTAGTAGCAACTAGTGGTCCGGTTCATTCAGTCTCAGCCGTACCATCTACGACAGTGGTCACTACAGTTCCACTGTCAAGCCAGGCTCAGGTTAGTATGCAACAGCCGGTTTCAATGGCTATGCAGCCGCTGCAGCAAGCACCTGGGCCCATGCAACCTATGCAGTGGATGCCCAAGATACCTCTAACGAGTCCCAAACCTTTCGCTGGAGACAAGAAGGAGGAGGAAGACTTGGACACCTGAGTGAGGATTGTGCCTACTTATGTGAGGCACAAGCTCACAAGGCCAGAACAAGAAGTTGTAGTGGCTGCCTCCTTTTTAGAAGGATCAGCAGCCCGCTGGTTGA